TAATTACATAACACTATGCACATGTAAATACATTTAAGAGATTATCACTCAGGAGGTTTCTGTCATCCTCTCATCATTAAATGGAATTTAAATTGTTCTAATTGTGTGATCAGGGTTCACACCCCATGCTCTTCTCCTGTCCTTCTTCCATGTTTAAAATGTAATTGAGACTGTCAGTAAAGTCTCATTGAGCCACCATTTGGTAATAACAGGAAATTCTGTTATTACCAAATGGCAGCACAATGATGCTTTACTGACAGGACAAGCACACTGGGAAGTCTCAATTACAATTTAAACAGAGAAGAAGGATGGGAGAAGATTGCAGGGGTGTGATCCCTGAGTGTACCATTAGGACGATTTAAACTCGATTTAATGATGGAGTGAGGACGGAAGCCTCCCGTGTGACAATGTCCATAGGCTGTACAGCTGATATTGCAATTTAAAGCTATAATTTTAATTTTGCTGGTTATTTATGTCACTATGTATTGCCATTACATTTAGTGATATATGAGAATTTAGATTTATAAGTAACATTAGTAAGAAAAGGATTATTAAGGATTCTGCATAGTGTGATATGAAAGGAGCTCAGTGGGGCAGGGGAGGATACCATATGTTACCACACCGGGTGACACAAACCCTAGTGATGCCACTGGTTTATTGCAAATGAGGAGAATGGAGTCCCCATTGTATCTGACTGCTGCTAGACAACAGCAGAGATTTCATTTCCTACATGGGCCAGATCTAGACCCTTGGTAGGGCAGAGGTGAGCTCATTGCCTAAGAGGTTAGTCATCATTGTGCACCATTTAACCATATATAAAGACATTGAGAAACTATATAGATATTTTCAAGCCAAGCGTGGTGTAGTAGTCTGACTGGACTCCAGGAGATCAAGGTTGAATCCCCCAATCATCCATGGAAACCCACTGAGTGGCCATGGACAATACATACTGTCTCAGCAAAAGAGGAAGGCAGTGACAAACCTTCTCTGAATAATTCTGAAAATCCTGTAACAGGGCCACCATAAGTCAGAGTCAATTTGTAGGCAGAGATGGCAATTTTGCAATAAATTTGAAAAACAGCCCTTAGCACGCGATACAATGATGAAGATGACCAAGCTGCCACAGGGAGGATAGTGATTCCTTAATCTATTTTTATTCGGAAGTAAACCTAGTTTATATCAATGAGAATTTTCTCAGATAATTGTGCTTAATATTGTAGCTTAAGATTGCTCTGCAATAATACATTCTACTATACCTTGCCATGCTATGTGACACCATGCAACACATTTTACCATAACTGTATCAGATAATTACACTTGATGTATATTAGAATACTTATTACTACACAGCGAGGTGCTACAGGCATTAATCCTTTTTTTTTCCCAAACTGGGATTTAGTTAAGAGCTGACCCATTACCCAACAATTCATTTAATGGGCCTATGTTGTTGTTTTTGCTGCTACTACTGCTGCTGCTGTGTGTGTTCAAGTTGCTTCTGACTTATGGTGTCCCTAAGGTGAGCCTATTATAAGGTTTTCTTGGTAAAATTTATTCAGAGCAGGGTTGCCTTTGCTTTTCTCTGATGTTGAGAGAATGTGACTTGCCCAAGATCACACAGTGAGTTTCCATGACTGAGTAGTGATTTGAACCCTGGTCTTTAGAGTCATAGTCCAAGGCTCAAACCACTACACCACACTGGCTCTCCATTGGTCTACTTTAGTTGGAACCAAACAACAGAAGTCTTCCATAGATGTTTAAATTTCCATAGGTTTCATACGGGGACAGCCTTATCTCTTGCATTGTCTCTTTGCTGTGCTACTTTTTATACTGTACCTGATCAGAAAGCTAAGGAGGCAGGAAAGTGGTAAAAATGCTCCTTACCTCTTCGCAGAACAATACAGGCAGCTGGCTTATTGTGCAGTTGTACGTACACTGTGATAAGTTATTATTAACAGTCATTTGTATTAATCTGGATTCACCTCATTATGTCAGGGTAAGAGGTCAATGCCATTGATGATCTCAGCCTATTTATGTAGCATGTTGTACTCTGATAGGCATGTCTCTTCCTCTTCAAATTGATGCAGTTTGAAAGCAACAAATTGCATCTCCCAAGCTATATCCAGGAAGACAGAGAAGATACAGTACTGGTGTTTTGGCACTTAAGGCTCACCTCCCATTTTCTGAGCATGAAGCTCATGGAAGGATGAACACTGTGACAATGCAAAAGAACATGTCCTACATCCTTTAAAAACTTCAGATGTGCAGGAAATCTTGGGTGATTTGCAAATGGCATTGAGCACACAGAGAATGGCATTGCCATGTGCTCAACATGGTTTACAGATACTTTGCTAGCATTTGGAGCCTAGTTTGATGCACTCTTCTGGAGAATTGTTTCATTAACTCACAAAATGCTGAACTTTTTTCTAACCCCTCTGTTATATTAACTAGTTTACTAAAGTGTTCCATTAATTTCTTATAACAGCCCCATATTGGCATCACTAACATGTTTTCTGAAATGTTCTATGAATTTGGTATACTGGCCATTCTACCAGCTGCAATCAAGCTACTGGCAATTTGGAAAGATAAACATAATTGTGGTTCTGAAAATATTGATATACCAAATCAAGTTAATGCTGGAAACATCAAGTGCAGTAATTCAGAACATCAGGAAAGGGCTTATACATAGGTTAGTGATAGATATGCATCTAAGGCTGAATCTGCACTGCAGATTTAATGCAATTTGACACCACTTTAACTCCCATGGCTCTGTGCTATGGAATCCTGGAATTTGAAGTTTGCTATGACACCAGAGCTCTCTCACAGAGAAGGCTAAATTCCTCTCAAAACTACAAATCTCAGAATTCCATAGTACTGAGCCATGGCAGTTAAAACAGTGTCAAAACTGCTTTCATTCTGCAGTGCTGGAGCACTATCCTATGGAATCCTGGGATTTGTAATTTAACAAGGCCTTCTCTGCCAAAAAGTGCTGATATCCAACAAAACTACAAATCCCAAGACTCAGTAGAATGTATCCATGGCAGTTAAGGTGGTGTCAAAGTGCATTAATTCTGCAGTGTGGCAGCAGCCTAAGATAGCCGAAGTCAGATAGCCAGAACAGGTGATGGTAAGGAAGTCTGTGATCCTCCAGATATTGTTAAACTCTAACTCCCATAAGTCCAGGTCAGTAGAACCAAGAGCTAGAGATAATTGAAGTTGCAGTCCAACAACATCTGCAAAGTCCCAGGTTTACCATCTTTATAAGGGAGAATATTAGTTAGAATATTTTAATTAGTATATTTTAAAATGCATGCAAGATTCTGTTATATCAAGATAAGATGTCTCATGGGAGGTTTGTTCAAAGAAATGTGCAAATTTAAAAAATAATGAAGATGAGATACAACAGATGTTCTTGCTACCAATAGTGTAAATGTCCCCAGATACAAATTAGCAATAACTGTATAGTACCAAATAACTGTCTCATTTTGTTTGTGTCCTGGGGTTGCAGATACTGTGAATTAGACATAAGAGTTTCTTGGAACTGCAATATTTTTTAAAGCAAAGATTACAAAAACACATTTCCTTCCTCTTGCTTATGCAAGACAAACAGTAAGGGGCACACCAACAATTAGGCCATATCTGAGAAAGAAAAACTATTTTTCCCTGATTCAAAATAAACATTCATCATGCTGGGTAAAGATATATGTTCATAGTGCAATACTAGCAGAACTATTATAGATAATAAAGGTAGAACACTAGAAATCTTGCAGCAAACATTGCTATGTTTAAGGGTTTCAAAAAAACCTGGTTGTTTACTGTATCAAAACCTTCAACAACGATGAATAAGCAGAACACCAGCAAAACTAGGTAGCTAACTTCAAGCAAAATAATCAAAAGAGGAACAACTCATGGAATCATGCATATTTTGGTTTTAGTTTACTTCTGTATCTATGTATGAAACAGTATTTTTTTTTAAAAAAAAACTGTATTAGAAAGAGGTGATGGTATATGTCAACTAAGGGTTTTCTGCCTCCCACTGTGACCATTCCAAAAGTAGGATGTGCATTATACTGGAGCCTAGAAATATTTGGGGGAAGTACATGTTACAGGGAACTGAAAGGCCAGAGGGGTCCAGCCTAAGATGTAGAATCCATTACTATGAGAGAGAAAAGTAAGAATAAACTATATTCTTGCAAGAAAAGAGATTCCACCTCAACATTAGGAGGAACTTCCTGACAGTAAGGGCGGTTTGACAGTGGGACACACTCCCTCGGAGAGTAGTGGAGTCTCCTTCCTTGGAGGTCTTTAAGCAGAGGCTGGATGGCCATCTGTCATGGATGATTTGATTGGGAGTTCCTGCATGGCAGGGGTTGGACTGGATGGCCCTTGTGGTCTCTTCCAACTCTATGATTCTATGATTCTATAGGACATCTATAGAAACTCAATTATAGAAACTTGTTATCCAGATCCTATTAATTTGCTGGACCCAATCAAAAGCAATGTCAGAAGTATCTCAGGCAACATGCTGAACCACTGGCTCTCCTGGAGCCCTTTCACACTCCATAATTATAGCAGCATGATTCCACTATAATAGCAAGGGGCAGCCCATAGAATCCTAAAATTTGTAATTTGGTGAGGACTTGAGAATCTAAGCTCCTCTTCTTAAACTGCAAATGCCAGGTTTTCATAGGATGGTGTCCTGGCAATGAAAGTAGAATCATAGTGCTACAATTGTGTAATGTGAAAGGGCCTCCTCCTCTGGCTCCATCATAAGGCTCCTCTCTAGAACAGAAAGTGCTGTATATCTCTGGATGAGGTTGTCTCTGGATGAGGTTTCCTCAATTTGACAATCCGTTGCAGGTGTCAGCACAGTACAGACTGTTTTGCTACTCCTCCCCTGTCATTTCCTGGGTCCATACATTGTCTAGCAAAAAGAGAAAATATCTCAAGGGGGTTATTCAAACAGTGAAAATAATCACAGTAGAATGTCAGTTGATTCTTGATTGTTCACATGCATTTCAGATGCACCTGAGTAAGTTGGGGGGGGGGGGG